TAAACTTGAAAAACCATACTGCCATTATTAGAAAATTGACGTATCACTTTTAATGTATGACAATATGTAAAATCAGACTTCATAAAGACAAATTGTTAAGTTTGAGAAAGAATAAAAAGAAGAGTCGGAGCGAAGAACCGCACTGAGAGCAAAAGTTTAATATCACAAATATCTGTAATAGGAAATCAGTGCTCACTTTAATTGTACGATCACCCGAGGCTGAAACAATATATTTGCTGTCAAAATCTACAACATTAACAGCAGCGCGATGAGCTACAAGCACACGACGTACGTTGATTTCACGTGGAGAAATCATACCCCAAACTGCTATTGAACGATCCTTAGAACTGAAATATTCACAAATTACTGAATATCTCCTGACTGTAAATACCAACAAATTTCCATTGGACGGATTCTAAAATAATTCTATATCGAAAGCGTACCAGGTAACCATCATGCCATTTTGGAAACGTAAGTGCAAAACTGCTTCAACGTGATGCATCAATGTATGCAGCAGTTCTCCAGTGTGCACATCCCACACTCTACAAACATTTCAAAAATTTAAAGTTATAAAAACTGAAAAAGTCATAGTAAAAGAAAAAAGAAAGTCAAAAAAAAAAAAAGTTTTATAAAAATTATGATCCCAGATAAAAATAATAAAGACATTATGAAATACTTGATAAATGATCAAAATGTTGCGAAGATAGATATCAACACTATCTAAAGAGGAAAAACTTAAATGTGACCAATTGAATTTGAAGCAGAAAGTAATGTCATAAAGTTGTTAATCTACGATTCAACATGTTGTCTGATCCAACATCAACGAAAAAGTAAAAAATTTGATTTCTCAAATAGTGAACACAAAGTTAGTACAATGTTTACATGCCTTACTGTAGTATCGCTACTTCCACTAATAATGACTCGATCATCATACTGTAGACAAAGCACCGAGCCAGTGTGTCCACGTAAAGTTTTCGAACATTGTAAATCTTTTCGCTGCCAGATCTTGATTGTGTGATCTCGTAGTCCCGATATTATTTTATCGTCATCATACTGTAGACAATACACACCTAAACAATTTACTATCTTAATGCAGCAGAAAAAAATAAAAGCTTAATAGTCAAAAAAATCTCTAACCAAAAAAAAAAAAAAAAAAAAAAAAGAATTTTCTGACATATTTTCAATGTCGTAAGCAACAATTTTCACAACCAACACTATAAAGCAACATATGAAGAGTCATAAATGAAGCACCTCTACTAGGTTCTGAATGACAAGTAATACGGGATAATACATGCCGTCCATTTTGCCAATTAGATTTGAGAGATTCAATATCTTGATTTATTTTGGGATACAAATTTCTATAAAAATGATGCTGGGCTTCTAGTGAATCTACTGTATTCCTGAAAAAACACGAAGTTTTTTAGCATTAATATTTAAAAAATTAACATAAGGCTAATCAATATTCAATTTTCTTCGAATCCACTATTACAAAAAATCCTCTCAGCAAAGTACCAAACTAATATTTTCACGATACAGTGAGTATCCATATGCTTTCATACTATTATAAATTTCGGCGAAAAAAAAAAAATCTCTAATCAAACAAACTAAGATATGAGAGGAAATAACCTGAGCTGTTCGATAAGATTAGGAGGATATCCCAAATCTTGAAATATTAGTGTATGAGCTTTTTCCTTTGAAACAAATAAGAAGTTTCGCCTAAAACCATTATCAGTTGGAAAAGATGAAAAAAAAAAGTGTTTTATCATGTCCATTAAATACTAGACTGGTTGCCGAACCAAAGAAATTTTAAAATTTCAAGATCGAAAATATTACCATCCACGTTTATCTACTACTCCTTTCCATACCGGGTCAGTCTGAACGTTTCGTTCAATCAATCGGCGCCACAGCTTTCCGTGCGATATGATTCGCCGCCAAGTACGACTGACTTTTTCACTTGAATTCAGCCAACGAGCATCAAGGAACGATAAAACATACCTTGCTAGTCGATCTGAAACAAGACGTCGGTCCCGATATTTCTACATCGAAAACAATCAGATTTTTGAAACAAAAAATATTATCCACTTTCATCTATAACTGTTCTAGTTTTCTTAGCGATAGGAGTACAAAAAACGGCTAAAATCAGCAGAAACCCCAACAACAAAACCAAAAGTTCTTTGTCTGGTTTGCGTTCGAAACAAATTTTACAATTTCTCGAAAACACATTTTTTTTTTTTTTTTTTGAAAACCTGGTAAGAAGGCGATGAAATCTCGCTGCAAAATAGGTTTCAAAAATGCATCTATTTGTCCGTGTTGATCATGGCACATACTACGGATAAGAGTTTTGACGAAATCCACCTGATCTTGATCCGTCCAACTGATGAACTTCTGAAAAAATAAATTGTAATAGGTAAAATGCACAAAATCTAGTGCTTCTGTCCTCAAATATACTTTGCATGACAAATGTATAAATCAAAAGACCTTTCAATTTCATAATCGTAGAAATATTCCAAAGCGTTAACTGGTATAATACCACGGAATTCTTATATTCCCTTTAAGTGAAAGATACAACAAAACCATCAAGTATACTATGTAACTTCATACTAATCCTTATAAATTAAAAAAACTAAAAACTGATGCAGTTCTCAAAATAACTCGTGTATCTTAACTGTTTAATGTAGGAATATGTGAACGCTAAGTACTACTCCATGTTTAAAAAGCACAAATATATTAGTCAAAGCAAGATAAGATGGAAGAATCTTCAACATCTTTTATTTTATAAAGCACGCTGCAATCGACATGGATCTGAATGCTTTAGTATGCTTCAAATATAAGGTCAATAACTCACTTCTAGTACAGACTGACGCTCGTTCAGGTAAACTGCACTCAGATTTTTTTCTTTTTCTCTGAGAGAAAGGTCTGCCATAAGTTCAGCTGTTGATTCGCCCTGAAGCGATTCAGGCTGTAACGAATAAAATGTCAAGAATTTACCATACTCTGAACTCTAGGAGATTTAAATAGACCAAAAGCTGACATAAACAGTAAAAGAAACATTAAACTGGTACTATGTTCACATACATGAGTCATTCAATATTTACTAACACCCTTGTTTTAAAAATATTCTGACAGATAAAAATCAAACTTTTACAATTAACCTAAGATAATTCTGCTTTTTATACTAACAGAAAAGGTGCCTCTTCAACGCTGAGTGCTTACTGCTGAATTTACTATATAATTTTTTCTGAGCTGTGCTGCAATAGCTTTACTGTTAATTTCCACAAAAATTTCCAGGATATCAAATTCTGCATAGACATGAACGCGAAAAACAATATCTTAAAGATATTATTTTATACTTACATATTAGTGTTCAACGTGTTTTTATCAAGTTCTATGATATATTATGAATTATAACTTCTTTAGCATTTTAAAAATATTTGGAATGGAAGTGATTACAAAGCATATAAACAAGAAGCATAAAAAAAGGTCTTTACAGCTAACATGGCTATGTCGAGATGAATCGGTCAGCAATAACTACATCACAAAAAAAGGAAAAAAAAAAGAAAAAACTAACGACGACTTCGTCCGAACAACTGTAATGGTCTCCTTGATTGTTAGGAAGTGTATTATTCATCGTTGACATTGCTATGCTGATTGAAGTTTTTCTTCGTTCTCGAACACGTGGCCCTGAGAAAAAGAAATATACAACATACTGTTAGAGAATCGAATAGTACACCACAACAAATGACGTCATTCTTGCTATTAAAGCAATTAAACATGACAATGATAAATTAAAAAGACTAGACAATGATAAATTTTTTTGCAAATGCTTACAGTTAGATTAAATCATGAATACACATTGACATCATGTATGCCTAGTTATATATTAGATATCCGAACTTTAAGTAGAACTGTTAAAATCACTACTCTACTACCTTCAACTATTACGTTATTACTGATAATGAAAATTTTTAAAACTCAGCAACTCCCAAATGTTATTTTTCATCAAATACTTATAAACACTCAATTGAAGCTTTTAAAAATTTTTGCATACAATAAGGAAACAACTGGATCTAATAACCGGAATACCGGATTAATCTATTACGACACACACACCGAGAAATCCTACTCCCCTCCTACCTATGACATTTCCCTCCATCACTTTCGAATAGAGACAAAATATGAGACCTGCCTCATCCAACGATAACGCTACAGTTTTTGTAACATAAGATGACAGAACATGCATAATTAGGAGTGAGCAGGATGCTATGCAAAACAGTTCAGTAGTTTTGAGGAGAGTGTTGAGAAGTAGTGGATTTTTAGTAGTAGATTAACGGTTATCATGATGAATCGATATCATTTCATTTCTTTTCTCTCGTTCGGATATAGCGGTCACTCTGAAATTTGGTACTATCGGATAGAGAAGTGCGATAATTCACCTTGGAAAGTATTACTTACTTTAACTTTAATACTTTACTTTACATTTGATAATTTAACATTCAACAATTTGATCATTAGGAATCACCGAAACACTGAATTAATGAATTTGTATTTGCAATGACTTTTCTTTCAAGCAGAATTAATCCAAAATTCTCAATTACTAATTTCGAGTAGAATGAATGACTACTTTTGTGGTGAGCAATCTTTATTTTTGATGCTTTTCAATTATTTATTAAATATGCCAAGCATGCGTCTGTACTTGTAATATTATGTGATCGTCGTTACGAGCAATTCGTTTTTTCTTATTAAAATTAAGTATATACTTCATAAAATATAGACATACATCATTTCTCTATTTCAGATATTGTGAATCACTTATCGCTTATTAACCAGCAGTCATATTTCATAAATGAAATGAAAGTGGTAAGATTTTATTCACCATTTATTTCTCATTCTAAAGCAGAGTAAAGCTGTATTTTTAAATTACTTTACACAAATCAGTCATTTTACTAATTTAATTATAGTCCGTCCGTAACATATTATGAGCAGATCACGAATCATTCTTTATGTATTTCAACGGTTGTAAGTTTGACTGTTTATTTCAGACTACGAAATCCATTTTGTGTACAGATCATGAAATTGCTATTAAAACTCAGCCTTATTCATCAAAAAACAAAGGTCACTATATCTTTTGCTTGAAATTTGTTACAAAATAATGAATTTTAGTCTACTTTTAATAACTCTGGGATAATCCATATTATATTACTTTAAATAAACTCATTGGATAATTTTACTTATTTTTTAATTACTGGAATTGCACTAGAATTATATTTAACCAGCTTCTGTTAAGGTTAAGTTTTGATGCGTAAATGCTATACCGTTTTCTGATTTTCCTTCCATAGTAGTATTACAGAATATGGCGAACCTCCTGACGTCTTCTGTCTTGATTCATCTTCTATAGAATTTTTGTATTCGATATTTGACAATCGATTTTCTGCCAAAAACAATGCCAGTAGGTTTTTTTTTTTTTTAGGAATAAAGAGAAGATGTAAGTTTGAAGTGAAGTGTGCCTGTCTTTTCAATGTAATTTAAGATAACTTATTTTTGCACAGTGTGTTCTTTGATGTTTTCTTAATGCTATTTATTAAAATTTTCTTATTTTGTATTAACTGGTTGTAAAGTACATATAAATTAGAATAATCCTACCATATATGATGCCCAATACCAAAATATATTCAATTCCTTCTGCTGGTTGTTATGTTCTTTAGCTTCCAACTAAAGTTTTTTTTCAGAAACAAATACAAGTGAGTCATGTAAGGTAAATCGCCAAAATCAGAAACTGGTTCGTAAAATATTTGATTTTTCTTGAGATTATCGGGCATGCGGCTTGAGATCGAGCATGAATGTTTAGTTTTACAGGTTCCATGTCTGCCTTGGCAACAGTCTCTACATCGTGTTCGTGGTAGAGTCAAATACCACATAGGAAGACTGACGAATCTTAAGAAAACTATTGGGTCTGACAAGTTGGATGACTGTGAGCAAGAAGTGGTTTTTTAATACTTTCATATTTGTTATATTTTTGTGCAGTAAGACCCGATAAATTTTATAGGCTATTTCATGGCCTTCATTTTTTTTTTCTCAAGTTAGAAAATATAAGGTGACTAATCTATTATTTGAATCCTAAAATTTAGTAATTATTTAGATTTAGAAATTATTTAGTAATTATTTAGATCTTAAAACAAAATCAGGCAAAAGAAATTTTCAACAAGATACACAACAGACATGTGCAAATGCTGAAAGAACTGCCAAGTGCTGGAGTAGCCGAGTTAGTAATTTACTAGAGATAAATTGAATCTTTTGCAGCTAATCAATTTTCTCCTGAAGGTTAAGTTAATTGATGAATGTTCAGTTTTTTTTTGCTATATTTTTTCTGATGGCAAACATTGAAATAAGGTGACCTTGTTAGTGGCAGGCATCGATTTTTCCTTGTAGCCTTCCAACTTGTAACCTTTCAAAAGTTTATTTCTTGTGCTTGGGTTTCTGCAGATGTTGTATAAACAATTTCTTTGCTTGTTTCAGTTTCTCTTTGATTTTCTGTCATAATATTCGAGTGAATGGAGTGCATTTTGTTGCTTTGTTTTTGTAACGAGATTTTCAACGTTGAAGTAAAACTAGCAGAAGGAAAAACCAAAGAATTTAAAAAACCAACCAAATTTTTGGGAAAAATCTTTTAATCCAAAGAAAGAAATTTTAATTGAACCAAATTCAAATAACAATATAATTCTAGCTGAGATGATACTTCCTGAATTCTCTTCTATTGCTAAGTTAGGGAAGAAATGCCATTTCTTTGAAGGTAACATGATTCTTTTTTGGCTGAGATTAACTTCCTTAGCCAGAACAGATTTTTGCTTGGCTTCAAAATACAGATAGATTTAGATTATGTGTTAGTTGTTTATGATTAAAACTTTATAAATGTTGGATTGTTAAAAAAAATTTTTTTCTCGTATTTTTTATAATTTGTGCATTTAATAGTCTAAAATAGTGTATAAATATTACATGAATATTAACTATTTAGACTTATGGAACATGAAATAGATCGTTTTGCAAACGGATTGCCGGTGTATAGCATCAGAGAAGACATCAAGAATATACTGTGCAATGAGGTTGGTGCACATTTTCTGTCTCTTCCGTGATTTTATTTGATTTTTTGTTTTTTAATAGTTTTATTTTTGCTAGAAATTATGCTAGGAGTAATCTTGTTATCAAAGTTGTTTCAGTGAACAATATTCATATTTGATTATTCTTCTTTTTTTTTTTTTTCAAATTTAATTTGTTTTAAATCGCAAATTTAGGGAAGAGTATTGCTTATTGTGGCAGGTACTGGTTCAGGTAAAAGTACACAAATTCCGCAGTATTTATTATTCGATGGTATCATTGATTCTTCAAAGAAAATTCTGTGTAGTCAACCACGCAAGGTTTTTCCTTTAACATCATTTGTTGGAGTTTTATGTAACGTAAGTGGAATTGCTTTAGAAAGAAATATAAACATTCTTATAGACTGCTGTACATGAACTAGCCATGAGAGTGAAGAAAGAAACATCACTGAATAATTACTGTTTCGTGAACGTCCCCGTATATAAAGAAAATGGGTAAGCATTTACATTTTGTTAGGATGGAATAATTTATTACAGCTTACGATTTGTGTATATAATTCAGAGCTTAGTCTTGGTACATACTCTTTAAAATGTACTATAATTGTTGATATTTCTTTTCAAACTTCAAATAATTGCATTATGATTATCCCCTTTTATTTCCATATTCAAGTTATCTACACCAATTAATATATTTCAGGAATAAACCTAATCTGGATGCAAAAATAAATTTCATAACAGTGAAGCATCTTTTGGATTGCATAAAACAAGATCCTATATTGTCACAATTTGGATGCGTTGTGATTGATGAAGTTCATGAGAGGACTGTCTATACTGATTTATGTTTAGGATTGATGAAAAAAATACTTAAATTGCGATCGGATATGAAATTGGTGAGTTTCGCTAGAAGTTTTATAATGAACTAATAGTTTTCAAGTATTCGCTTCTGTTTTTGAATCCTAATGTGAATAATCTTATTTAGGTGATAACTTCTGCAACACTAGACCCAGAATTATTATTAAATTATTTCGCCGAGTTCCAAGCAAAAAAGCTAGAAATTCCAGGACATCATTACTCCGTCAAGATTTGTTACGAGCCACCCTTTTCTAGATGCAAAGGGTTGGTTTAAACATTTTTCACAATCATAAATTACAATATAAATTACAATCATAAATTGTAAAAGTTAATTTGTACTTTCTAAATTGTCCCTCTTGCACATATTTCGTAGGCATGTGGGTGTCTCCATTAGGTTAACATATGCTTCACAGCGAGCATATAACATGTTTTATAAATCACTTCATTATGATTCAGTTTTGTTGCTGTGTATTATTCCACTTATTCCTTTTTTTGGTTCCTTAACTACAAATGTATCTAAGCTTCCAACCTTTGACAGATTATTTTTAGTAATTTGATCCAAGCTGTTTCTGATTTTGCTATCTCTTTGGTTAGTCCTTTATAATTTGTTTCTTTTTTTGCAGAACTAGAACTTTAATACAGGATTATATTGATCGAACAGTGGAAAAAGTAGTAGATATTTGTAAGAGTGAAGCTGAGAAGCAGCCTTTTGAAGAAGATATTGCTTGGGAAGATAGCTTGGAAATACATGCAGCACACATTATGGCTTTTTTGCCAAAGTAGGACAGTTATTTATTTATTTATTGCTTTTTTTTCGGTACTTTGTGGATCTAAATTTTTGATGCTTTGTCTAAATTCTATAATTATCCGTGTATTACTCAAAGTTTGATATGTAGTAACTTTTAACTGCTACTTAGGAGTCTAACATATGGGTCTAACATAACTTATCTAATTCAAGAATAGCTGCACAGAATTAATCCTGTCCTGAAGAAATGAGTATTTTATGTCCTCAGAAATCTGTTCAGGTATTTTGTATTTATTATCTTCTTTCTCTTTGTTTTCGTGCAGTTTCTCTGAAGGTCATTTTTAGTTCTTATGAAACGCTAATAGCTGAAGAACGCCTCTCCGAGCGACTAGCGGAACTTAAGCACAGTGTGAACGTGAAAATCATGACATTACATGGAAAAATGCCAGATGAAGATCGAATTGAAGTTTTTGCTCCTTTGCAGCCCGAATATCATCATAAGGTCATTACGCTTTCCAAGCTTTCTTGGTTTATTGTTATTGTCATCTTACAGATGTGCAGTTTTCATCTTTAAAATTTCATTGCAGGTTATTTTTGCAACAAATGTCGGTGAAACTTCAATTACTATTCCAGGTGTTCGGTACATTGTAGATTGTGGCTTAGCGAAGGTATGCGTATTTCCTTATTTTTATTTCTTTTCAAAGTCCAAATGTTTACAATTTTAAGAGAGAAAAGATGAGAATCGATTTTTTCGACTTCCTGTTATGTATATTCCTGCAAGTGATTACTTGTATTCAGGTGAAAAAGTATGATACTATAAAACGAAAATATGTCCTAGAACTGAGTTTGATATCGAAGTCTGCAGCAGAACAACGGACTGGAAGAGCTGGGAGAACAGCACCAGGTTTTAGATTTTTTTATTTAGAAATATCTTCTGAACATTTGGAAGAGGGATGTAGTCTGAAGTCACACGTTTCAAATTTTTCTAATTGATAGAATTAGGATCAAATTAAAATAAGACTTACGAGGTGTCCATCGGGTATGGGCGTATGAGGTAGAGAAAAAAAATGGTGTTCTTGAATAAGCTGAAGAAAAGTGATTCAAAAATTAGCTTATTAATTCTAACTGCTTAGGTTTGATTAATTTACATAAGGAATAAAAACGATTAGTTTTATCTAAACTTATCTTAAAGAGAGATGTAATATTTACTTAGCTTTCTTTGAATAACATCTGTTATGGTCGGTACAGTGTAACTAAATTTTGCTTAGGAATTTGTTATCGTCTTTACTCGAAAGAGCAGTATGAGGAAATGGAATCCAGAAACGTTCCAGAGATCCTTCTTACCAACCTTAATGAAGCAGTATTGCATATGATAGCAGCTGGTGTTATGGACCCAACGGAATTTGATTTTGTTGAAAAACCGAATTCAGGAGTTTTGATGCATTCGATGTCACTTTTGAGGTGTGATTTTTAAAACACATTTTTTTTTTTTTTTTTTTTTTTTTTTTTGTCTGTAATTTTCCAGATTTTGAAGAAATGTAGCTGCTGAATGAAACATTTTAGGTCGTTGAAAGCCGTTGAGTGCTGCGAAAGTATGTTGGTTTTAACCCAGCTGGGTAAAAAGATGCAGCAATTACCTGTGGAACCACGTCTCGCAAAAATGGTTTTAGATTCTGTGCAGTACGATTTAGTGTCTGAAACAGCCATCATCTGCGCATCTATTCACGTCGGGTCGCTTTTCAATCGTACGAATAAACAAAATGTAATATTTTGAAATATATTCTGATAGAAAACAACTTCATACAGTTTCTTGTTTTTCAAATTACTTTATAGTCAATAATATTTTCATTTATATTTATATTATTTGCAAGATTCTCTAAAATCTCACTAATAGCTTCGGAGTGAGAGAAATAGAGAAAATAGGCGTATTATTCTTTTATTTTTACAGAACAAAACTTTTGGTCAGTATACTTTTCGCATGTCATTCCTTTTCACTTATTAGTGTTTCATTATCCTTAAAGTATGGCAAGATACTTCATATCTTCTCGCCTACTTGTGTTAGTGAAGCATTAAAATAAAAGGCAGCAATTTCTCCATATAGTGAGATTTTATCTGGCAATAGTGGAATATCTCATATTTCTGATGTGTGAAATGTTATTATGAGATAATTTGTTGTTTCATTTCAGAATTTTATTCTAGCAGATCAAAAGAAACTATCATTTTGTGAAGATAGTGGTGATCCAATGACATTTTTAGCGGTACTTTAATTTTTTTTTTTTTGATGCATAATTAATGAATTAGTCTAAATGAACTTTTAAAAGGATTTAAATCTTATAGCAATAAGATCCTTTTTTACTTTTATTAATTTGTATTTTTTCTATTGCCTTGTTTCTACTAGTAATTGCTCATTACTGTCCCGAAAAAGAGGGAGGGCTATTGTTTATTTCAGTATGTTGACATGATAAGTTGTCAGTTTTTTGCAGCTATGTGTTGTATGGCTGGTTTGTTTCATTGTAAATATAAAATATACTTCAGGTATTCCTGCGATATATAAGAACACCAAAAAGTCGATTCAAATATTGGTGTTTTGAAAATTTTGTAAATTCAAAGCATATGAAATATGTGTTTAACATTGCTTATAAGATCTGCAAAATTATTTCTCGTTTTACAGTAAGTATGCATTAATCTTTTCTTTTCCTGTATCCTGTAAATTATTGTCAACTTCTGAATTTTTTAATTGACGTTTTGTATATTTTTTGGTACATATCATCTATTTTAGAATATAAGCTAGATGCATAAGTTTTACACAAGATTCCAATTGAACTGTTTAATTCAGGGTCGTAATGTGGACCTAAACAAGATTGATATTTCGAGAGCACGAACAGTTATTCCCAATCTTTTTTGTCAATCCTTTGCAAATAACCTGGCAATGTATTCCGGTTTACCGGAGCGTGGATATTATGATTTTAATGAGAAGAAATATGTGTTCGTACGTTGCTAGATATTTCAAAACTGACATAATACCTCCAACAAGTTCAGAATTAGCAACAGGAAGTGTACGGAGTTATAGATATTCCACCACTTCCAATTGTATAGAGTTGATAGTCTTTTGATCGTAGTTCTCTTCTAATTCGGATGGTAGTCTTATCAGATGCAGTTTTGACAGTGTTGCTAAATTTACATGGTTTCTTTTCGTTCTAGTTTTCACCTAATTTTGCAGATTCATCCATCGTCAGCTTTGAAATACAGCGACACAACTCCGGAATTTATTGTTTATGAGTGTTCGATATGCACCTCAAATGATTTCGTATTTAATGTGTGCGCTGTGGATCCCTCTTGGTTACATGAAATTGATCATTATGTGTTGGAAGAGGTAAGAAAGGTATGTTCACTCTTATTATTCGTCGAATATGCTATTTTTTTATGAGGTAAAGGCAGATTCATAAGATTTTCCTTATGATATATTCTTCTATCGTGTAAAAAAGTTCGCTACTTCATAAGTATTCGATTAAACTTGCTAGTATCTATTAACATTTTATTCTTACTCTTATGATTTAATAGTGAATTTCATGGCGATGTTTCAAGATCAAATTTTTTGCAGAATAAATTAGTACCGTATAACATTAGATGTGGAATTACTACGAAGAATTGGATTATGTCGCATAAAGATATGCTTGAGCAAGAGGTATATAAAAGATTTAAAAGTTTCGCTTCAAAGAAGAAGCGTAGAGCATTACATGTATTCTCAATTTTCATCAGGAATAAAAGGAATAAAAATTAACTGATGGTAAACTTTTTTGTATATTTATTGTTGTATAAAACACAAAAGACTTTTAAATCAGTAATAGAAGTCTTCGCCGTTGCAGTAAATTATGTTTAGGTGGGAGTGGAATGTGTTGGAAAGAAGAGATTTAATGATCCATATCTCAGACTTCAGATTTATACTCCAGTTAAAGATCTCCCAACAGTATGAAATTTTTTATTTAACAAGTGATATGCTTTTATTAAATAATTACGGTGCAAATGTTTCATAATAATTTGGCAAATAATGCAATGAATTCCATAAAGTACAAATTTTTGCTCTGGAAAGATGAGAATATGGACATTTCTTGATCTATCAGAATGTTTTTGATTGTAGCTGCATTTTCAGTTAAAGGCATTTATTGATCGAATTATAGAAGAAAAAATGGATTTATTGTGTAGGAAAACGAAAGAAGTGCGAATAATGCATGCAGATTACATGGTCAGTACAGGGTTATTCTATTCTCATAATTATTGGTAAAGAATTAACTTTGAGAAAAAATATTGTTATATTGTTTATGATTATGATGATGTGAAGATTAAGCATTTGAACTTTTTTGCTATAGTTTAATGTTTCTTAACATTTTCTCACCTACAAATAGAGATGATTTGCATGAATTCTCATTTCTAGTTGCATATGTCTGGTAGTGGTACACCTCTGGAAATTTTAATGCCCGGTGAATTCTGCAGTATGTATGTTGGAAGAGATGATATTAACTGGGCAGTTGATGTTGCGTATCGAACGAAAGTGGAAGAATACTTCAGCAAGGTTTGTTTTTTTTTCAATAAATTGGATAAATGTTTGCTTTCTTCCTCATTGCAATGGATAATATTAAATGGAGCATGTTGATTTATTCAAAATTATGTCAAAAAGATTATGGTCTTAATAAATATTGATTCTAAGATGGTATTCTAGCGGCTTAGAAGAAGGTTGCATACATTTGTGCGTTTGTGCATCCAGTATTGAGTTAGGAAATAATATCTATCTATAAGAAATTCATTCTTGCAGTTTGGAAAAATCACAGAATTCGTGACTTTTTATGAAACAAGTCAAAAGAAAACTGGACATTCATGCTTAATAAGAATGGAAAATAAGGAAGCTGCAAAACGTGCTTTTGTTTATAACAGAGAAAACCATTGCGATTTCAATATTGAAGTTTGTTCTGTTTGCTCATTTTTCAATTTTTTTTTTTTTGGTAATTTAAGTACTGCTTTATTATTTTTCGTTTCATATAGCTATTACCAAGCTCTCTTTACCATACTTTCTATTTTCATTATTATTTGAGTTGCATTTTGATTATTGAAATTTTTACTTCAGCCTTATTTTGGACGAAGGTATCTGAACAAAGAAGGCACATACCATCCATCTGCTTACCGATTACTGATTAAGTGGTGGCGTAGACCCAGTAATGGTTATGGTGAAGTAAAGGTCATTTGCTTTTTAATTAATGCTCTTAACAAGATAGTTTGTCAGTTGGGGTTCGAAATACATTTGCTGTCCAACAGTCTTTCAAATCAGACAAATTTTTTTATCATTTTTCTCTAACTCTTTCCCTTTGAGTTGATTAAAGTGAATAATTTAAGTTGATTATATCAAAAGTGACAACATGATGAAATATGGTAGTCTGTTACATCTTTTTCAGTTAAAACCTCATGATTTCCAACTAAGGACCTATGCTTTCAACGTGCTTTCAAAATATTTGGGTCGTTTTCAGCCATCATTGCTATCAGAAAATGTGGTGGTAAGTATCAACATCTTTTTTTCTCTTTTTTGTTCATTCACGGATCTTTTGTTTAATTATCTATTTTTATAGGAACGAGATCCGAATTTAAGCGTCGATGACTTATGCAGGGTTTGATTTTAATTTTAAAAATATAATTTTATTCTTTCTGTGTTTCATGAAAACAGTTTTTAGAATGCTACATTTGGTTGTCGATTTTTTTTTTTTGCTTTAGATACAGCTGCGCTCTCTTCCACTAGATATTGACGATAAAAGATTGCTTCATATTTTGAGACCAATACTGAATGAGTATGATATAGAGTTCGATGAAATATATGTGGTACGAAAGAAGAAATATCCTGTTGAAAGCGAAAAGTATTTTTGGTTTACCTACTACAGTTATACAATTTCGTCAATGTTTTATCAGATTTTTTCAAAGTTCAGAAATTTTTTTTCAGAGATTTAGAGGAGCTTTCTCAACGAATCTCTAATCATATTACAAGAGTTGCAAAGAATGCAGGTACAATATGCTTTTTTTGAATAGACTCCAACTTGAAGAATATATTAGTCGAAAATAAATCTATAAGAACTAGCATATTATATAGCACACTCATTTCTCTAATTATTATGCATTGGAATGCATGTTAATTTTTTGTAAATATTCATGATTGAAGATAATGTTCATTATCTGAATAATAATATTCATTTTTTCAGTAGGTAGTAATGGTCATCCATTCGAAGTTAAGATACGCACACCAAAACATAGTGGTGAATTTGAATTTATGGCATTTGTTCTCTTCAATGATATGAATATTGGGATACATGTGGGTAATGCATTGAAAGAAGCAGCGGAAAATGGCATAGTTTTAGAAATGGGATCAGGAAACTATATGCACGAAGTTTGCTTCATCAATTTGTTTCCGATCTCTTTTTAACAATCATTCTGATAGTTCAATTATTACAATCACTAGAAGAATAATACGATAATATAATGTGAATTATCACATCCCTTATGAGACACTGACACATGTTAGGTTCTTTGGTCAGCAAGTTTATATTAAAGCACATATATTCACTGGAATTATCGTTTAGTTATTTTAGGCTTATGTGCAACAAATGTTTCATTACCAAATGAAAGTTCCAATAATTCTCTTCAAAGCCATTTTTAATGATTTGAAAGATATTTATAATGCAATCGATCATGAACACATTCATTTTGACTATCGCAATGATACGTACAACAAAATGTGCCATCTCTTCGTTTCTGGGGAAAACTTTGAGCAAGTTCTTAATTTTTTATTTCTGACGAGTTGCGATATTTATCTTTTCTCTTCTACAAAGTTAGCCACATACTAAAATTTATCCATTTCAGTTATACAAACAAAGTAAAAGCCGCGATTGACAAGGTAATCGACGGATATACAATCAAATGTAAAGATGGTGAAAGAGTGGACGATGCTGAATTACCCTGTCATCAGTTGCTTACAAAGTAAATGACCTGTATTTGTTTTCTCTGCATTGAGAAATAATGGTGGTGACCTAGTTTCCTGGAATCAAAAGAGCCTTCCGAAACATCATATATGAGTATAATTTTCAACATAATAGTAGTAATCAGTCTCCCATTAAATTTTTTTATAATGTTTCAATAGAACACGATAGTACAAGCGATCCTGATATGAATTGTCAAGTACGCTGTAAATTCAAACAATATTTTGACCAGTTTGTCATTAAAAATATTAAGAAATCATGGCATGCATCATAATTTTTAGAACTGGTCGAGATTTTCTGTACAGTCTGTCACAAAGATATGCAATATTCCTGAATACATCTCCTTATAAGATGGAAGTGAAGATTCAAGGAAGTGTTTTCAATGTCGAAAGGGCTAAAACAGAAATCAAGCATTTCTTGCGAGAATGGTAATCAATTTTTAACATGTCCTTTTGCTCGTTTCAGTAAATTTCTTTGATGGTGCTACAATAGAACAATGTTACAGATTGTTGAATTTGATATGCTGTTCTTTGAAAAATTCATTAAGGATTTTTTTTTAGTCGATATTAAATATTATAGCTCTCTGAATTGTATTTTAATAATTTTTCCTCACTTGTTTATGTTTTAGGTTGGATGCAGACGTTAGTCACATTTTGATTCTACAGCCACCAGATTATCAACAAGGAACATTGAAAACTCTTCTAGCTCAAAATGGTTATGATCTTTATTCACTGGAGAAGCAGTTCGGTTGTGGCTTACATTTAGATGCTAACATTGCTAGGCGCGAACTGTTATTTATTGGCAAGGAAGCCCAATTCCAGGAGCTTTTAGTTAGTTATTTGAAAATTTCCTATCTTCATAACAGAAACTCCTATTTATTTGGTGTAATGCGCAAGATTGTTTGGAACAGTTAGTTTTAAATACTCATGCGGTTTGCTTCCATAAACTTATCAGTTATCAAATTCGGAGTAAATTGGTTTTTTGTCCCACTAAAATACGATTTATTTGTCGGCATCAATTTCTTAGTCTAATAGAGGGTTCATCATGTGGAAATACGTAGGGGAAGTCTTTATAATAGGAATTTTTTCCTTTTGCATAGTTTTGTACATCGGAAATTCGTTTGTTATCGTTATATCATTTTAGAAGATGCTGCGTTCTATTTCTGACAGTATTCAGTCGAGTAATTCCTCAGAGAGTTCTTTCAATAAAATTGGGGCACCGGACTGTGTTGTTTGCCTTTGTACGGCAGATTTGGAAAATTACTGCTTAGAGGCATGCGGCCATTATGCATGTAAATCGTGTTTAAATATGCAGGTAAGTTCTTTTCTGAACATTTTAAAGTTAATTCATCAAAATATGTTGCATGTTTGCCTGGCCTTAATTGTGAAAAATAGAAATCCGGCACTGTTACTTAGTTTTTTTGAATTCTTAGTCCGATTATCTGATATTTCATTATATATATCTAGAAATCTGTTAATAGAGTTATTGTAACTTTTATCCAGCGCGATAATAATTATAATTTTAATATTAAGAGTTTTGAATCTTTGTTTGTTATAATTATTATATGATTCCTGTTGTGAGTTATTCCATCTCGTTCATTTGTTTTTATATGCTTAATTAATTCAGCTGAAGGCATCAATTGAAACGCGTAGTTTTCCAATTGTTTGTGTTGCTTGTGAGAAACCATTTACATGGTCAGATCTGGAAGTTCTTGTGCTTGGAGACTTAGATCGCAACAAAGATGAAGATTCGGAGAAGTTGCAGTCATTATCAGATGCATCTCTGGCTTATTTCGTTGAACGTCATGGAGATCTGTACAAGCACTGTATAACTCCTGATTGTCGAGGATTACATTGTGTTAGTTATTCGAATACTTTTGTTTTTTTTTTTTGTGGCAAATTGATCGATACAAACTTCTTAAACCATTTAAACACTTATCTCTAAAATTTAAGGTCACAGCCGATGCTGGTTTGGGTAAATGTAGTTTGTGTGGTCGTGTGCAATGTACTAGATGTGGAAAGGAGGAACATGAATCAATAACATGTGAGGAATACGCAAGACTAAGAGCTGATGCTGATGAATCGGTGAGAAAATGGATACAGTAAGTTTTATTTCTCTGTTCTCATACTAATTTTATGGACTTCCCATGGATATTTTTTTTTAATAATTTAAAACAGAAATATAATTTTGGGACGCTGTAGTTGTTAAATATGTTTGGAGGTGGCATCCGAGAGAAGATGGTTTCCAAGAAAGCAATTTCCGGTAAAACAATAATAATTAAGGGAAACCTGAGAGAGCTTTTTCAAGAGATTGATACTTAATTTTTTCCAGTATGCTGCTACCACTGCCACCTGAAAGTGACGATGTATTTTTATACAGATAATAAAAATCTTACGATACTGTCGATATTTATGTTTCTGTATTAGATATTTGTTGATCGTGCTTGTACTAAAAAGAATTCTGTAGCTACCAATAACATATTAATTTAGAGAGGATCAAGCTAGGAGGCGAATATGTCCAAATATAAATTGTCAAACTGTCATTGAAAAGTTGGAAGGATGCAATCACATGCAATGCTTGCGATGCAAACAACATTTTTGTTGGATTTGCATGTTTTCTGTGAGTTATCATATACTTACATGTGTTTCATGTTCTAGGAACCTGGATTTGTTCATTTAGTTGTTCTGTCGATACATTTTGATGTCATTACTGCAGGCTGCAGAAAGCAATGAAGTTTATGCTCATATGGATGCGGTGCACGGTGGATCAGGAGCTGATATGCATGACTTGATGGATGAAATGGGAAATGATCCGCTTATTCGTGAATTAAATGAGAGACAGTATCCGGCGCTATTGGTAAGTTCAAAAATTAATCCTATATAGTATTATGATCTTTTGTGACGGATCATCTTGACTAAAAAAACTTAAAAAAAAGGTTCAACTTTGTCATTTCCAACTATTCTTTAAGTTTTATCGAAATAAATTAGTGTTCGATAGATCTAGGTTAACAGCAGCTGTGATTTGTTGTAATTCTTGTCTTTTCAGTTAGATGAAAGGTTCAACTTCGGTGAGGAGGCGGGATTTTGGGTAATGCCTGACGAAGATACTGATGATGAGGCGCAGGCACTGATCCTGGATGATGATCAAGATTTCCATTTTTTTTGAATTCCAGCAAGATTTGAATGGACTTGTTATTAAAGAACTACATGAGCTAAAAAATATTACATGAATTTTTATTGCTATATCATCGTGATACTTTGAAGAATTCCAGAATCTAACTGTAATATATCTAATTCTTTTAAATGTTAAACTGTAAAAAATTGCAACATTCCTTTATGGTGTAAAGTATATGCTTGTATTCTCAAGTTTGCATTTCTTTGCGCTTTCAGCAAAATCTTAAGATATCTCATTATTTTATTTTTGTTTTAACTTATATTGTTCAGACATTTGGCCTTACTGCTTTTTTATGTGGCGACTTTTATATATTTTAATATCTTTGGACACGAAACTTCCGGTGCAAGTCGCCCGTTTAATCCATTAAAGTTTTAGAAAGGTATTGTTCTCACACTTTAATAAGTTTATGTGTGATTGAAATATTTATTTTACTGTTTTACTTTCATACATGATGATGATTCACTATCAGTCTTAACATCAGTGAATATATACGTACAGTGTCATATCAAGACAGTTTTTCAAGATGCAAAAACGGATTTTGATATTTCAACGGTTCAGACATTTTTTTCTTTTTTTTTTCATAAACACATTTTAACCAGCGCTCTTCAGCAGGAACTACTAATTTGTGTATCACAGTTGGAAATCAGGGGAATGAAATTTTGATTGAATGAATTGGAAATTCTCTGTGGAACTTTTCAAAAACTTGTTAAACCTTAGGTTCTATAAGGTTTGCTCTGGTGGAACAGTTGTAAAGAAGGTCCTTAATGGGACAGTAACGGATTATATTTCAGATATTTCATTTCTAGTTTTGGAAGTATTTTACTTTTGAAATGTAAGAATTTGTAAGAAGGACTGAAAATAGTATATATTCGGTTGCGTAATAGAACAGACAAATTTCAACGTCAGTTACGTGTTGATTTCTCAGTATACATTATATAGTGAAATTTTAAAATGTATAGCATAATCGATCTCGTCTTCTCTTCCACTTATATTTAAGCTTCCGCTTACACTTACACTTACGCTACGCTTAGTTTTGATGTATTCTAGTGTATTGTTAAAATGACATTACATAATGAAAATTCCACAACTGTTAAATTTTCAAGAAAAAATTTATTCATTTGAAAATACAAATGGAAATGTATTTCTTAGATCTCTTAGAAATGACTTTTTGCAAGGAGCCATTTTGTCGTATATATATTTTTTTTGCATTGTAATAAGTAATATTATTAAAGATTTCACCATATGCTTTTCTTCTTTAAAAATTTTTCTTCCATTTTTCAAAAAGTTCGAAAACTTCTGCTTCAGCTTCCATTATTGAAATATTTTTTCTTTCGTTCTTTACTCTCTGATTGCTCGATTCATGATACGCATTATAAATCTCCACAATATACTAAAAAGTATACTTTCAAAGCAAACAAAAATTTGATGGTATTAAATTTCAGTAAAATTGTAGTTAATGCTAATAAATTATAGCATTTAAGTTATTAAATAGAATAAAAAATCACTTAGAAATGCAAAAAGTAAATTAAGATTAAATGAAATGATCCTTATCACCATTTTCTGATAAGGTTTATCATTGTTTCTTTTTTTTAAGTCTCTAACGTTTTATAGAACACCTTTCGTTGCCTGCTGAAACGATCTGCGTGTAATTGTTTCTGATGATTATACTGAACCCAATTCATTGTGCTAACCTGAAATTAAATATTTATTTATACCTAATTCAAATATATTAGGCTAAAACTATGTAACAATCATTTTAGACAGCCAAGTGTATCTGATATTTCTCCTATTTTCATAGGCTTAATGAATCATTTTGCATGCAATTTTAATTGTTTGCAAGCCATAAAGAGGAGATAAGCAATAAATGTAATATTCATTAGTTACAAATAATTCATTCCAATTTTTTTTACGCATAAATCTTCATCATTTTTAATAATTAACCTTAGTAATATCAACGAAAATTGTAAATGCAAAGAAATACGGAAATATGTAACAAAAGAGAATTGTCATCTGTCACATTACAAACTCATTAAAACATTTTATTTATATTTCTGTTGCACTAAATAGATAATTGTGTTAATTGATAACAAAATTTGTTTCAGTTTGTATGAAATGACACGATTTCAATGCAGAATAAAAAAGAAGTAGGATGAGTTAATTGGATATATATTCATCATACTTATCAATGATAGCATTAGCAATGATCAAATGACAGTGAAGTTAGTTTTACATTTATTATATTAGATCTATGAAGAAGGCATATCAGTAATATCAATGCTTTTTATCATGACTCTCAGATTAATAATCAGCTAACTATGCTAATTATTATCAAGCTTTTTATGATAATTCTTAGATTAATAATCACATTAACTCTGATTGATAGCATTGAATATGTGCAGAGAATCTTACTTTATTCTCAATACTTTTGCTAATGGAAAATGATGAATTTATTAAGCGCTACCTTACACTTGACAATTTAAACTTATGATTTGATCATTAGGAATCCTTGTAAATAAGTCTGATTTAAAATGATATGTTGATGTTGTTTACAGTTAATTTTTCTTTCAAGCAAAACTGATGCAAAATTTTCAACTATCAATTTCAAGCGGAGTGGATGACTTTCCTATTAAGTAATTCTTATTTTTGATGCTTTTCAAATTTATACTACGCATCCACTGATTGATTTTTTTCTATTTCATTTCTTAATCAATAAGGAATTAACAAACTGTCTCAGTCTTTTGAAAAAGGTATTGATATTTGCAGAATATAAGCATCATTACTTGCTGAAAAGGACGAAGAGGAAGAATTAATAAGTATACTGAGGTCGCAACAAACAGAGATCAAGTCGAGAAGCATCAAAATTATGTCCGTTTCACCTGACTAAAGATGCTCTTAGTATTTAAATGTTTTTTTCTTTTTTTTTTTTTTTTTTTTTTATTCATTTTCACTAATAAAAAAGAAATTATGATTGATTGTCGGCTTTATTTTTTATATTAGTTTTACTTGTGATAATATTGTAATTGATGGAAGAGCAAATACAAAAGAAGAATCTTGTTGAGATTATGCTTGTATAGATGTATTCATTAAGATAGGAAAATTGTTTTAAAAAATTCACACCTAAAATATCATTGTACAAAATATCAGCTTAATAAAATAGATTTCACCTTCAAAGTGTAGTGTTTTAATTCATTTCATCTCTTCTCTTCTACTCGAATCCATTATGAGGTTTGAAAAATGTAGTTGCTTTTCTCTCAGAATTCATTTTTATTTTGCATCATATAATTCTTTTGTTTTGTATTGATTGCCCTTTGCTATCAGAATTTTTTCATTTTGTATGATTAATTGTGCGTTTTTATATATGTTTAGCTATTTTTGCTGTTTCTTTTCTTTTACAACTTCCAGTTACAGTCTTATTTTTTCAAGAACAAATATAAATGAATTCTGCAAATAATGCGTAAATTTGTTTATTTTAATGATTGCAGGAAAGATTCTCTATGTTGATAGAATTGCTTGTGATATGTAAAGGAAACTACTGAACAACTTGAATGATTGCAAACACAAAATGAATGAAGTTTGAAATGAATGGTTAGCAGTAACGATTATTATTAAAATAAACTGTGATCATCAAAATTATCTTGCAAACTAATTTCTGTCATAGTATCTATGATTTTACGTTTTATGCAATCATAATGATAATTTCAATTTGTACATTTAAATGATATTATATAACAATAAACATAATAGAGATCCCATGATTTCTATGCCCTTACTATAGCACTATATCTTCTTACTATGATTCTTAAACTTAGCATCATGCATTTAGCTGTTATCTTTCTGTTAAATATGCTTTATTTCAGTCATTCAGCTAAATGAAATAATAAGTTATATCAATTCTATTTCAATTTTACATGTGAAGAATCGTATATATAGAAATGCCAAAGATGCAAACACAAATGCGCATAATCGAAATATAAGTTATTTGTACATACTCTCTCATCATTCTATAATTTCATTTTTTTTTTTTTTTTTTTTTGAAATTTTACCGGTATGTTCGATTACTGATAAGGCTATTGTCTCACATGTTCTGCTGATTGGGATTTAATCTATCACAGAACTGCAGCCAACTGATTTACGAGTTGATAAATACAGCGATGTTTACTTCTTCCGCAATACTGACAAAACTTGTCATCGTTAATGCATCTAAATAATGCCTTTGCGATCATTAGTTACCACTAATTACATTCCCAACAATATTAAGAGCTTGTTTACAACACTTATTTACTTTCTAGGATAAAACGCCGTGCAAGAACGCAATAAAATCCGAATTATGGGAAATTAATCTCTGTATTGATCTATCTTTTTCCCCTCTTCGATGAAGTTCCCATCCTAAATCTACTTCCATGTAATTATTTACACTTATTCATTTGGTTACTGCAATTACACGCAGCGAATTTCCAAAAAATCACTTTTGAACTACACCTGAATACTACCCGTTGGGTCCCTTGTCATCAATTCCGGAATTCAATACGAAAAACTCACACTTTTATGCTATCTTCTCAACTCTTTGTTACTTCAGTCACCCAACTCAGCACACTCTTGAGTTAGACGAATGATGTTCTAAAGAATGTCCTCTCTCAGTATTCGCTTTTCTACACATCTTGTATCTCAGAGGAACAACCAAAGAGATTTAGCTTAACCTTTGGAGAACCAAAAATGCTACCTGTTATAAATGCGACAAACCGTAAATGTCCAACAATTTATTCATCGCAAAAAAAAAAGAAAAAATAACGAAATAAAATCCTTTTTAACGGTACGATTTCTGGTACCGAGCCCTTGCACCAGGGCCACCAAACTTCTTCGGTTCCCGTCGTCGAGGGTCTGCCACCAACAAATTACGATCATACGATACCAACTGTTCTTTAAGTTCTTTTTTACTTTGTTCATCAACGAACTTCTGGTAATAAGCAACGATGGCTTTCGCTAAAGCTTGTCGAATTGCATAAATCTGCAAAGATTTAAGACAGTTTTTTTTACTCATCGCAACTGATTTAAGATTTATCTAACTCACTCATAGTTATCATTAAAATAACAGCGAAATGCTGAAGAACCGTTCTTTCCTTATCTTTCTTTTAATGTATCGCTACAAAGTTGCAACACTTGCGCTATTATGAAGTAAAAATATATTAAAGGAATAATAACCACATTTATCCACTTCTCACATGTGGGAATTATTCATTCAACAGCATACAGTGTGGAACTTGTGGTGATGTTATACTTCCAGTATATATGGTTTTACGAATGAAAGACATACTGTAGCAGAAATGGCAATATGTCAAATGTTATTACAACTAGAAACAATCTAATTGAGTATCAATAAACTACTTGTTACATGAGCCATCAAGGAAAACAAGCTTATATGATCTTGAATCTTTCAATACAAGTCGGCCGTCATTCAGGAAACTATTTTCCTCTACTCAGAAAAAACGGATTGAAAATAACCTGAGCGACGTGTCCACCACCATTCACCCTCACTCTTATATCTACATCTTGATATCGTTCTTTGCCCAAAATCAATAGCGGCTCCTAGAAAATATCAAACAAAATGTAAAGTTGTTGTCAAATCAATAAATTTAGACAGCACAGATAAGAATAAATTGAGAATCAGATGTACACACGGCTCACAATTCAAACTCTACAAATGCTCCATCTGCTAGATGCAATATACCTGAAGTTTGATGCGCAAAATTTCTGGCTGTATGTGTTCCAGAGGACGGCCATTTACCTAAAACAGAGGTTGATCAGGAATCAAAGGAAATAATTTTTTACCGTCAGAACGTTACGAACTTCCACATAATATCACACTATTTTCTAACCAAATAAACCGAATTCGAATGGAACAACAGAATGTGCTAATTGCAAACAAAATACCTTAATAAGACCGCGTCCTTTCTTGCAGTAAGCAACAGCAGTAGCGGTCTTTTTTCTTCCAAATACCTGCACAGATTGTGTAACAACCATGACTGAGGGTGCTGCAATAAGATTTACAGTAGACAACACAAACTGTTATAATACTAAACGGAAAATAAGGAATTAACACAGTGTAGTACCGAATTCTAAACTGTAAACCTCAGAGTAACACTGTCCCAGATTCGTCATACTCAATTTATCAGTTCAATCGACCATTTTTCTTCAGTCCTCACTATTATCTAATAAGTACTCTATCATCTTTAACGCTTTTTATGATTCCAGTCTGTGATATATAATACTGCAGCAATGAAAAAATATTATTCCGAAAAACGGAGTTCAACTAACTAGCAACCGGAAAAACAGCACTTGTATGTCCAATTTTCTACTTGCTAAGAGTCAGTTACTCATGTCCTATCATTACTGATAAAGTTAGCGTGTAGATTTATGGTCTCTATGCCATTCAGCAAATTACAAATCATCTTTCTATAAGAAAATTTAGCTCACATGTAGAAGATAATGGAGAAAGAATTAAACAAATAAAGAAATCAAACTATCATTATAATAGAAAATCGGCAAAACTTAATGTCTACAACATATTACACATCAAATAGAAGTTATTATTAATGCATCAGTACACAGATTTGACCCATCACCCCATCCCATAACGTAACCCACGACCCTACCCCTCTTATTTCGACTTGCTTCGGTTCCTCCA